CTCTCTCTCTCTCTCTCTCTCTCTCTCATAAATTTAAATAGTCATTAATGATTTTGTTTACTCTACTTAAACGGACACCATCCACTTGAAATCTAGAGATAAAAAAAAAAAATCAGTAAAAAGCTTCAGCTAGGACAACTGCTCCTATCATCTTGTTGATTTTTGTGTGTGTGTGTGGTTTTACAGTCACAATAGTTAACTGTTTTTCAATTTTTTTTCTTTCCTTTGTTGCTGTGTGGAAGACCCACAGAAATGGCAGGGAGGGGTAATGACTGTTGTGGGGGAACAGAGCAACTGGTTATATACAGAGTACTATGAAATGTACAGAGTAAACTGATGAAACAAAATTTAAGGTGACTCTTAACAATTGTAAGCAAAAAAACCAAACCAAAACAAAAGTGTCCGTTCTGAAGTTGATAACGTCTCTTTAAAGTTAAGTGTGTGCATATTATATGTCCAGGTATTTATTCCAAAAATATTTAGTCTTAAACCTTAATTGCTTAGCCAACTACTAAGACTTCAAAGATGAGTGTTACTGTTAGAATACTTGTATGTACAGCATGACAGTGGAAATGATAGAAATCTACATTGATCATAAATTGCTTCTATAGATAATCATTTTTAGAATAACATACTGAGCTATATTAGTTTTTGGCTAGTGTAAGGGTCCACTCCTTAGGTAATCTAAGATGCAAGAATTTTAATATGACTTTTATCACATACTTATATAATTTTTTTTATTGAACATTTTTTTCTTTTAAAGGAAATCCTTGGAGGGCCTCATGCAGCTGAGCAGAGATATGATGCCGAATTCTTTAAGAAGTTCCGAAATCAGAATATTGTACTTTCAGCAAGAACTTATGCTCGGGTATCAGTATTTTTTTCCCCCCCAAACATTTAAATTGCTGTTTTTGTTAACACTAACTAATTCCCCATCACCACATACTGAAATGCATCCAATTTTTTTTTCTGTTTTGAAGCTATGAGTGATTTTAAAAATCGGAATAATATATCTTGAATGTTGTATTTGATTATCTTTGTCTGACTGTAAAATGGGACAAGATTCCTCTGCTCTGTCAAGCTTCCAGATTATGAAAACTTTTAAATGAAATAAATGTTTTAGTCACTCATAGTCTTTAAAAATGCATGATGATATCAGAATAGTAGTGTTTGCTGAGCAGTAATTGGTAAGCAGAATCATTCTTAAACTGTTTTCATAGTGTAAAACAGAATATTTTATATTTTCTGATGTAGGAAAGCAATGTGAGAGCCCTAGAGATCTTGTTTACGTACCATGGTTCAGACCTGCTTCCACATCGGCTGGCAATTCTCTCTAATTTTCCAGAGACCACTTCACCACATGAGTATTCCTTTTTGCTGCCTGAAGCTTGGTAAGAAAGCATTTTCTCAATATCAGTTACTGGACTGCATTTTCTTTTTAGAACATGTTGAGAGATTTTATTCTAAAAGTGTGGCTGTAAACTTAAAAACAATTTGAAAACGAAGTGTGGGTTTGTGTCTGTATATAGTTGTTGACCAGCATCAAGAGAGCACTTTGGAATTTACTTCTTGAATCTCTTTACTTTCTACTTAATATAGTTGTCACTCAGTGTAAATAGATAAGAATCAGTGGCTTTCTACCTCTTGCTTGCAGAGATTTTTCAGGATATATGGTAAATCTTTAGGTGTTGAGATCATTTAAATGTACTTGCCTCCTTTTCACATAATAGACCCTGTCAGGGGAAGTGTCCACTCTGACTTCCCTTAAGAAGGCCTGTCTAGCACTCTGTACAGTTTATCAAATGCTGTGCTTCAGTGGGTGCATGGGAATCTTTCCATAATTTGTTTGTAACTGCATTGAGGTCCTCGGGTGTAAGGCAAAGTAGAAATACAAATTATTATTATACATTCTTTAAATTAAGAAATAACTGAAGTGTGGAAATTTTACCTGTTGCTACTGACTTAAAGTGATTCAAGAAACTTGGCAGACTACCTCAGAGGAAGAGAGAGCATGAGGTCAATAGTCTAAAATTCAGATTTCACATACAAAATGGTTTTTAAATTAGGTTTTAATTCCTTCATCTTCTGTTTTATGAGCGATCTCCCAGATCCAACATCAGAAATCTTGAAGCTTCTTCAGAATTCCCTAAATGTCCCGTTTCCATCTCTATTGACATCTATAGACACTGCAGGATGCTGTTACATGTTTTCTCAGTCTGTCATTGATTGTGAAGCTATTACCACAATCTATGAAGATGAGGGGAAATGTACTGATAGGTTCTCTACGACTCCTTGTCTCCCAGGAAAAAGTTCAAGACCACTGATTTCGCTATATAAAAGCTTATGAACAAGGCTATTCTCTTTTCCTGGATTAAATACAGCCAAATTCAATATCTCAGTTTCTGAGAAAAGAATGGAAAGCCTAATTTCTCTGGTATTATAACAACAATGTTTTCTAATCATAAAGAAATAATTTTCAACAGACTCCTTCTGAGTGTCTGACTAAAACATCTATATATATTTTGCTTTCATGAGTATTTACTTTTTTTTTTTGCCTTTTGGAAATTGCCATTATATATACAACATACGTAAGGAATAGGTTCGGTAGCATAACTGATCTAAAACCACCAAAGCATTTTGGGCTACACACTGTTTCTACAGGTAACTACTTCAAGATATTTCATACTGTATCTATATGAAACAGAGAAGTCAAATTAGATTTTCTTCATAACTTTAAGCTTTCAGAACAAAAACAAGAGCAGAAAGCCCTTATGTATAACAATCAATGCTACTGCATCTGAGCTTCTATGGCTATCATCATAGTGGCCTTTTTTAATATTTCCAGATCTCTCAATCTTTTCTGTCAGTGTATGTTGACTTGAAGCATTTATTTCTCATTTGGGAAGAAATTGATTGACTTTTGAAAACTGTGAAATGGGATTTAAGTCTATTTATCCTTCAGTATCCACTGTATTTAAGCAGTTATTAAGAAAAAATGATTATTTAGACAGCAGCATAATACAAATAAAAGAACTAAAAGATATCTGTATAATTGTCTAACTTAGGTCCTTATTATCCTCATAACACCCTTGTGAGGAAGGGAAATATTATTAATCCTTTTTTACGGATAAGGAATTAATGCACAGAGTGACTATGACAGTCCAAAGTCACACAGGGTGTCTGCTTTGAGTCCCAGGCTACCACCCTAATCACTGGACCTCATTGTTCCTGTCCTGCAACATATTAACAGATTCTGAATTCTAGTTTTGCTGACAGTGTTAAATCATTCCATTTTTAGATGAGTTGTTCTACCACTTGCTGTTTAAAACTTGGAACTTTTTAATTTCCAAAACTTTATAGGATACTTTTCATTTAATGGGAAAAATAGTAATATGAATACATTTAAGGTAATACAGAAACAAGCTTTATAATGCACAACAAATCTGAGATCAAAAGGGCTTCACTTATCTATCTGAAATGCATGTGTGTAAGGACTGCATGCCTTGGAATACAAAATATACAAGTCTTAATAATTACACTGAGATTACTGCAGGCTTTACTTGCACACATTTACAGAAATAGCAGTTATAGTATAAAATGGAGGAAAATTTTTGATGTACAGTTTTTGATGTAACAAATGTTACTGATTATCACCTTCTGAATATTGAAACCATCTTGATGGTTTAATTTTCCTTGGAACTTAGTTTTATCAAAGGTTTGAAAATGGATGAAAACACACATTCCAATAAATGTTTACTCAGTTTCATGCTATAAATTTTAGGTTTAAGACTCTTGAATATATTTTATGTATTGATTATCATTTGATTTACACGATGAACCTATATCAGTCATTTGCAGTTTCTACTTTTTGTTGTGTTTTGAACCTTTCTGACTTGAATAAGGGTCTCTGAGGAAAACTTGTAAGGTAGAGGTAACAGAATGGAGCTATGCCTATTAAACCAATAGAACATATCTTCATGAGATTTTTTGCCTTTGTGTGGGTGACTGAATTTTAATATGATTGCAAAGTAATGACCTCATTTTTGTGTGACAAATGCTGTAACTAAAAATGAAAACAGCCACTTGGATTTCTTCAGATCTATGCCCTTACACTTTGTTGCACACTTTTCAGATGTGGTTTGGAGACTGGTTTAACTCTGAGAAATATTTAGGTGGCTATGACTAAAAGAACACTGTACATTAGAAAGTGAATGAAAGAAAGAACAACTTAGAATGCTACTTCTAGAACTCTTGAATACTGTAGAGTTTCCATGAACTAGAGTAAAATAAATAGTCATAACTGATATTTGCTGACATATGGGCCATCTAAATGTGTAGCTAGCTAAGCTGCTAATTTATTGAGCCCGCTCCTGAATTGTAACTAAAGGCAGAGGTACAGCTGGTTGAAATTGTAACGCATGATACTGCTAACTCACTAAATTATTAAAATATGTACCATAGAGCAGGAGTTCTCAAACTGTTTTAGAGTGTGAACTACATCTTAATCTAGAGATCGTCTTATGGACATTTCCACGTCGATTATTAGCAAGCAGACCACCTTCTTCCAATTTGAAGTCCCCTAACATCCCTGTAAAAAATAAAAATAAAAATGCGGCAATAGATTACATTAAAAAAATTAGGGAACTATTTAATGGTGTCTTTCAAGGCAGTTTAGCAGCTAGAAACAAGGAGTCCCAGCACCATGTGAGCAGCTAGCTCCCCAAAGGCCCCTTTTTAAAAACCTTTTCCTCAAATAAGAGTCTGTTACTAAAGATATTCCTGAGCTTTTATCACAATGAAAACAGTACGTTTAAAAGAATAAATGAATTACAAAGGGTAAAATTGTCAAAGGCAGCTAATTCCCATTTTCAGGAGTCAGTCATATGGAAAGTCAATGTGACTAGGCTCCTAAATGCCTAAGTCTTTCTTGAAAATGGGACTTAGGCTCCTAAGTTTAGGTAAAATTGTCAAAAGTGCCTGATAGTTCTGCTGGTGTTTAAGATTGTAGAAAAAAAAGTATAAGATTGTGTCTGAGAAATAGCATTTGATCTTGTAATTAATAATTGTATTATAATGCACACAAAAGAGCAGAGTTAAGGTTTGTAATTACTGATTTATGGATGCTTAAGAATGCAGTCTTAATGTTTCTTCACACAGTTTTTAAATGGAATATTACAATATATGAGAAGTAAAGTGTGCAAAATGCATATTGCAGTATCTTTGGTACTGCCATGTTAAAAAAAAAAAAGATTCTGCATTTTAGAAAAATAAAAATTTATCGGTGATCCAAAAGATGTATAGCGATCCTGGGAACATATAGAGAATCTGTTTTTCATCCTGAAAATACAGTAGGACCTTAGGGTTATGAATACCTTGGGAATGGAGGTTGTTCGTAACTCTGAGTAAAACATTCTGGTGGTTGTTTCAAAAGTTTACAACTGAACATTAATTTAATGCAGCTTTGAAACTTTACTATGCAGAAGAAAAATGCTGTCTTTCCCTTTTTTTTTTTTTAAATAGTTTACATTTAACCCTGTACTGTACTGTATTTGCCTTTTTTGGTCTCTGCTGCTGCCAGATTGTGTACTTCCAGTTCCAAATGAGGTGTGTGGTTAACTGGTCAGTTTGTAACTCTGGTATTTGTAACTGAAGTTCTACTGTAAACTTTTCTAAAAGTTATTTCCTGGATTTGACTCTTTTTACTGTTAAGTTTATGTAGAGTGGATGAGCTTACATGCTTTCACAGTAGATCATCCTTACTTTAAAATCCTTACTCTGTCATAATTAGAAGACTTTTTTGCTTTAAGTTGTTTCATACTAGTGTTTCAATTATAAAAATAGATTTGAAGTGTAGAGCTCAGAGCTCATAAATCAGAATCGAGTAGACTTCATTATCTAGTAGTTGCAAGGAACATTTTTGAAGTCTTATCTCAGAAAGACAAGTTTCAGAATATCTAATAGAGCCTTTATTTTTCCAGCACTGCAGGTTAAGCTTTTTCTTATGTCAAAGCATACTTTTCCAAATGGCTTGTTTCCTGCATTAAAGAGGCTTATTAATACATCAAGCTTTTTTCCCTTTCCCCACTCACAATATTCTTCACAAAAAAAAACAAAAAAAAAAAACCAAAAACGGGGAGAACTGCTTCTTGAGTAGAAATTGGCCAAGTACTTACTATATCTGATATTTGCAGAATGTCCCCTTTGGCCAACTAGCAAATATTAGAACATCACTGATTTTTGATGACTAAATCAATTGTTCTTTCCGATCTATTAAGACAGCTATTAGGACCATAAAAAGAGAGAGGAAAAATGAACAGGGTGTTTAATTGCTAACTATTAACTAACTGATATTGCTTTGGTAATTGTATTGTGACAACCTGAGGCAGGAGCA